CGGGCACTTTTATTAATCTCTTTAAAATTTTATTACCTTTACAATATCAGTAGATCAGTTAATCAGTAAAATGCTTACTTTACACACAATGCTGCTGTTAAATTTTTCAATGCACATAATGCATAAAATTTATAGTAGTAAATGATATCAAACTATAACAGTATAACTCTAACTTCTTCTGTTTGATCGAAATTTCTTTCTTTCGCAATGATGATCTTATTAGGTATGTATATGTAAAGCGCGAACTTTGATTTAATTTTAATTAATTAATTAAAATTAATAAAACATTACACACTATTAATTTTGCTGTGTAAAATATGGAGCGTTAAAATAAAATATACGATATAATAAGATATAGTATAAAACAGAATGCAGAAGCATTTTTAGCTATGATAATTTTTTTTTTCAAAAAATGAATATTGGATTCTCGAAATTAAATAAAAAACTGATAAAGGATGGCTATGAGAGTCAGACGCAGTTATCGGTGCGTAAGAGATCCAATTCTCTGATTTATTCAACAGTGTATATAGTGTATAGTGTTTCGGCTCGGAATTGAGCCATCTTCAGCAAAATATACAAAAATTAATTAATAATAATTGCTCTCCTTCTCCATTCTTACTCACAATCAGTGAGTTTCACGATTGGAATAAATTTTTTTGAAAATTTTTTTATCAGATATATTCCACATAAGGCATAGTACATTTTATACTATGGCCGCGCTTTTTGAGGATCTTACAAACAATCTATCAAGATTTAAATTAAAAGTTTTAATTTTTTACAACAGAACCAATTTTAAGTGTGCTTAAAGATGTAACACATTATTAAAATATATTATTTACTTTTTTTTAGTAATATTAGTAATATTAGTAATATTTAATTAGTAATATATATGTAGTGGTTTGTAATGATATTATTCCATAATTAAAAATGTAGAGTAATATAATAGTAGGGGAGACCAGGGCTCGTTGGCACCGTTTTCACAATTTCGGCATTTGAGTTTTTATACAACTAATTATCTTGATTAAACAGTACTAATATGATAGAGAGGATCTTTCTCTACATTTTCATGCTAGGAACGCTCCTGTATACTGTATAGTTTCTTTGTAATATATAAGTGAAATACGAACATGCTGCATTGTAGCCAACTTGCCCCGATAGTAGGGTAAAGTTGGCTATGCGACAAAAGCCTATGTTAAATTAATGAAAACGTAATAGAAACACACCACGGGTAACAGATACGTATTTCTTGATAAAAATTGTATATTTTTAAAGTTATTTTTTAATGATCAAATAGCAAAATGCTGTTGCAGAAAAACAATTGTAAACTATTTTAGATGTAGCTTTCTTCAATATAGAAATATTAATATAAATATATATCTAGCTTCTATCAGCATTGTATTAGGTAGCAAATCACATGCTCAAACAGGTCTCACACGCGCGGCAACAACAAGTCAAGCTAAGCGTGTCTTGATATGTGAGCCAACATACCCCATCCCTACATACGTTTTATTTCAGTCATTTTATTACAATAAATTATTGTTGTTAGTCAAAATAACATGTCGTATAGTAACAGAAACTTTTCTTTTAACTAATGATACGTCACTTTGATTTACTTCTCAAGCTGAAGAACATTAATACGATATTTTGAAACGCTCAAAAATTTACTCGCCATCTCTTGAATCAGAGTTTTCTCTTTTTCTATTGTAATACTTGTTTGATTAAAATAAAACTTTGAGAAAAGTACCTATGTCATATAAGAGATATTTTGTGATAACTTTTCCATTGTTTTTTTCGCTATAAATACATAAACGAAACGCATTGCCAACTTGCCTTTTGTGCCAACGCGCCCCGGTCTCCCCTATACAATGAAAAATGTGGAATATAATATGGAATGCATTTATCTCGAATATAATAAAGCTTATCAGAATACCAAAGCACAAAGTTATCTGAGATCGAATGAGGTTGATGATGGAGCCATAAGTCGAGGATGAGTAGAAGATCCGATTGAGGCATTTAACTTTGATACAGATCTTTACTTCGCGATCATGCAAATGTTTGACTATAAGAGAAGTCGGTGATGATTTGTATATTTCCTCTCTTGGATTGAATATTTTATAACCATTTTTTATAAATTTCTAAATTATCTAATGCAGCATAAGTGTATAATAAAGTGGCAAACAACGTTATTTTGATCGAAACATAAACAATTTAACAATTTTACTTGGGAGTGCATGGTCGGTAATTAATGTAATGTGAGAAATTGAATGAATGTTTATTTCTAATCAAAATATACTTGCGCGCGCAATTCCTATATACTAGAGTTGCGCATTCGTTCGCCAGTTTTCAGTAACACAATGATACATTTTATTCATTTTACGATTCGTGCACTTGTAAGTTATATTTTACCGTTTTGAAAAATAATAATCGGCCAGTCTTATATATAGAGACGTATCAGTTATTAATTTATTATTGGTAACATACTGTAAACACTACTACTCTTTACACAGTTTTCTATACCTTCTTAGAATTAAAAAGAAGTTCTTACAATTTCATCGAGATTATCAATTAAGACCGCTTTCTAGATTATATATACTATATCATTTGTGCTTAATGTATTCTAAATTAGTTTCCTCACTATTATTACTCTACTGCACTATATTAGTTGATTTATTTTGCATCAATTTCGCGTAGAATGCAGAACGGTGAAATACGACACTGCCGTGCTCAGTAACTATAATAACACATAACTTTTTATTTTTATCTATCCTATAAAATATATTTTACATTTAACACTATTATCAAAGATATTTTTCTTACCGTAGCAGCACCTTCTAACGATCCCACAAATAGTCCATTGATATTCATAGTGAACGCCTTGGTACCTCTTTGCAAGAGGAACAGGATCATTTTTTGTATTTGCAACGGAGCTACGTACCACTGGGCATTGTATCTATATCATGACAAAACAATTAATGATTGGGGAATATAAAAAATAATTTGTTAATGCTTACTATATGTCTCTTATACTACGTTGACTGTACATTTGTCACGTCCGTCCATACAACAAATATGCGAATGTGATTATACTATATAAATATCTTGCTTACATAGTTGCAAATACATTATTATTGTGATCCATAATTTCTTGCGCAAGATAGTTGCCTACGAATATGTAAATGAAATTGACGATGCTGAATGCCACACGTAATGAAAGTTCCACTGTATCGAATCTAAACGACAATATCTGAAAAATCTAATACAAGCAGATTCAAGGATCTTGATTAAAATTACGCCAGTAATGTTAAGCAAAATAATGATTAATTAAAACTGTCGATGAAAATTTAAGTAAATCTTGTTGCTGTTACATTCACAAGTATATAATAGAAAGAAGGCTGTATTTACCCGAAAAAAATTGAGACTTGTACTAAGCACCGTGAATATTATTAAAACGGAGAGCATTACTCTAAATCTAGATACTATCGAGTCAGAGAATCTTAAATTCAAGAGAAAGAGAATATTACTCTACGCACATTTTACATATATTATTGATTATTACAATACAAATATTGCGTGTGTTCTATCATATGAATACTAACTTCATAGCTTTGCGATGCATATCCACGGCACAAATTAATCCATTGTAGATGAAATTCTCATTCTTCCAGTTATTTTTTCCTAAAGTTTCGAATGCCATTGCTTGTTTGATACGATAACTGCAAGTGATTATTTAACCATAATTATGTAGGATCTTTAATTTGCTGATTGTTTAGATTTTTTACATCTATTTATTTTTCACAACACCCTCCACGGAAAGTTCGACTTTCCATGCCTGTAGAGAGGGGCGAAAGCGGCCAATTTCACGCCAGGGCGGCATAGCGGGCGGAAAGTAACCACTTTTCGCCTTAGGGAGGAAAGTAAGTCCTGGTTTGAAATTGACCACTCTCGCCTCTCTCTAGGCATGGAAGTCGAACTTTTCGTAAAGGTATTGTAAAAAATATCGTGTGCACCTCGGAGCGAAAGCATTTTCAGACTCGTGTGATTTGCCGCCCTCGTCTTCGGCTCGGGCGGCGAACTTCACACTCGTCTGAAAAACGCTATTTACGCCCCTTGGTGCCATGCACAATATACTATTACGTATATTCTTTTACCAGGTGATTCGAAACATTCCGCATGTATGCTTTTGATAAACTATTAATATACTTCCTGTCGCTATTAATGCGGTACCTCCTATCATTACAGCTGCGTTTGCGTGGAACAATATCAAATAGAAGTATTTTTCTTTATCGATAAAATATTCGGTCATAAACGGCAATGAATGTAATGATTGAGTTCCGTTTGTGAAGAATAAGATATTGGAAATGTGTGGCCAAAGAATGTATAAAATTATTGCGGATGCGGCAAACGTGGCAATTACTGAAAAATGTTTAAAATTATTTTGTTTGTTTATTGTTTTTACTAGAAACTCACTAATAATTTTTTAGCTATAACATAATGAGATGCAAGAACAATTGTCTTACACGATAATGTAATTGTATAACGTTTTGCATAGCTATTATACTTTTCTATGATACTGATTTCGTTCT